GGAAGCTCTCCACACACTCACCGGACCTGGGCTAGGACTGGGTCTGGGGGTTCCCGGAAGTTGGCAGAAATTCCTACTCGGCGGGAGGGGTGGGGGGCGGCCTGAGGGGGCGGGAGAGGGTCCGACCCACGCTGCGCCTGGGCTGGGACTGGTCCCGCTGGCGCAGGGTAGCAGGAAGCTCTCCACACACTCACCGGACCTGGGCTAGGACTAGGTCTGGGGATTCCCGGAAGTCGGCAGAAATTCCTCTAAGCTAAGATCTTTTTGACTCCAAAGTCTTTGTTTCATTGCCCAAGTCAAGCTTAAACTTGATTTTTTGATATGAAGTGCTGTATGTGTGAAATAATCTTCTAATGTTTAAATTTACATATGGCTCTTAATGACTTTGAAGTATTTGAAGGAAGACAGATATTAAGTCCTAGTTATTAGGTACATAAACTTGTTTAAGCTTTAGTTTTCTCATCTAAAAAATGCATATAATGGTTCCACCTCACTAAGGTTTGTCCTGATAGACTGAAAATAAATTAAGACCAAGATCATGTTATTTTAAAAAAATATTCATTTCTTTTGATTGACAAAACTTGTGTATATGTATACATTGTGGAGTGGTTAAGCCAAACTAATTAACACATGCATTACTGTATACTTAATCATTTTTGTGGGGTGAACACTAAAAATCCATTGTCAGTCATTTTAAGAATATATTACATCATTAATTCATAGTCACTATGTTGTACAATAAGTGATTCTTGACTTTATTTTTCCTACCTTACTAAAATTTTCTATTCTTTGATGGTGTTATTTTCTTTACTAATATAGATCTCTAGTATTCTAGACTATGAATATATTCAAAAGTTCGGATGAATCTGATAATGTTCTTGATTTTAAATGTTTTATGTGACACATTTTAAATAATTTTCCTCTTCGTAAATCTAAATTTCTAATATACATTTTGTTTCCACTAAAATAATGACTTGGGGGCAATTATTACTACCTGTTAATTATTAGTAATTCTCATAAATACATGCTTTGCATTTTAGCTAATTTCCTTTTTGCTTTTCTAAATGTGTCCTTTTTATTAATGTCAAAAAGGTAATTTTAAAGGATGATCTATGACTCAGCCCAATAGTGGCAAAACTATTTGTATATAAATGTTAATATATTTGATTATAAATTTTACATATATGACTGTATCAATGAATTTAGTATTTTGTTGTGCTATGCTGTGATTATTCTAGAATATTAGTTTACATCTGAAGGGGTTTTTATCATAAGGTTACTTGTTAGAAGGTTACTTGTTAGTTCAGGACCTCATTATTTCCTGCCTGAACTATTGCAGTAGCCTCCTAACTGGTCACCCCACCTCCAGTCTTGCCCCCTCTCAGATTCTTCCTCCAGAGTGCTGCCAGAGCAATTTATGTAAAATATGATTCTATGTTGTTTAGCTCTATAGTATTTCACCCTGGTGCATGAGATAAAGCTCAAGAATTTTTGCATACTTCGTAGTCCCTCTGTGATGTGGCCTGTGTATCGTCAACTTCCCACCCCTTATAATCGGTATGCTTATATTCTAATAGTATCGACTTCCTTGTGGTATCTCATACCTCACCCCTACCATATCCCAGTTTCATGCTCCAACTCTACTTCTATTTGTTTTTGTTGTCTTTTGTTTTCTTCCTCCCTCTTTCCCTCAATCTCTCCCTTCCTCCTTCCCTCTTTTTTTCTTTCTTTTGCTCTTCTGTACTTACTCCTTTTCTTTTCTTTCTCTTGTCCTCTCTTCTTGAATGTCATTTTTGCTGTTTTTCACATAACTGCTTTCTTATTTCTTAAGAGCAAACTTAGGAATCCTCTCATTCAGCATAGCTCTTAACTTCCTTTGCCTGACTCATTTCTGGGCTTGTCTAAATGATTGACTTTCCCGCCTGTTACTAGAGCACTGCGTTGGCCATATTACAATATGGCCTTTGTCTTTCCACTTAGATGTTACCTTCTCAAGGGCAAAGACTTTCTTACTTTGGCAGTCTTTTTCATCAGCATAGTGTCTGGGAAAGTAAATACTAAATAAATGTTTTTGAGATGAACTGAACAATCCATGTTCTGGAAGGGAAGGAATAATTGTGTAATGAGTTAAGGAGGAAAATTGAATTCTAGTCACTTCTGTGAGCTCCTTTGTACAATATGATATTTTCTGTACAATAAAATACTAACATCTTGAAGTTGAGGGATTTGATTGTAACATGTCAAATATTTGCAGTTTCACTTTATATTAGAGTTTATATCTCGTATTGAAGTGCCTCAAAATAATATTTCTTGGTCAATTTGTTGCAATCAAACCATTACTTTACTGTCTTATAGTAAACAAAATCTAAAGGAACAATGCTACTATTACACACCCAAATTTTTCATGGAATAGGAGCACAAAAATAACTGTCTTTGGTGCAAAAATTATTGAGGCTTTTCAAACCAGGGTGTTTTTCAACTTTATCCAATGGGTTTGGATTTTCTTAAGACTGCTAAGTTAGTTACCACTTGTCCATGTACTTCCATTCTCAAAATTTTATTTCTGTTCCCTCTTTTTTCCCCATTGCTGGAAGCTTATATTTTAAATTTATTCTTTCCCCACTACTTCCTTATCCTCCCTATCCCTCTCCATTGCTTCTTCCTCTTCCTCTTCCTTTTCTCTTCCAGTTTGGCAATACTAGGAATTGAACCCAGGACCTTTGCATTGATTTACATCCTGGCCCTTTCTAAAATTTTCATTTCAAGACAGGGTCTTGCTAAGTTGCCTAGGCTAGGCTTCAACTCATGGTTCTTCTGTCTTAGCTGAGATTTGGGCTTTGAGGGATAATTAGTGTTGGATGTGCATGTTCAACCTGCCATCTTTACCAAGAAATTACAAATTATAAATTTTAATTACCTAAGATTTCTAAGATTCTAATCACTTTGAATGTACTTCAGTTTGCTGGTTTTAAAAAACTTAATGTGTATGTGTGGGTGTTTTGCCTCAAGTGAATATTCTCATCTGCTTTCTTTAACTGTAATTGCTTCAGTCACTTCCTACTTTTAAAGAAGTTTGCAAGCTGGGTGTTGTGGTGCAGGTGCGGTGACCCATGTCTAATGTCCTAGCTACTCACCTGAGGCAGGAGGATCTCTTGAACCCAGGAATTTAAGGCCAGCCTGGACAATTTAGGAATGAATACCCCATCACAGCAAAACAAAAATTTAAAACTAACACTGAGATTAGTTTATTTTTTTGTAAATTGTCATTTTATGTATGAATCTGGGGTACATTTATTGTGAAAAATTTAAGCAGTTCAGATATGTATATAGTGTGAAGTCATCTCTTATACTTATCCACATCCTCAAACATAGTCATCATTATTATT